ATGATATCTCATTGTTGTTTTGATTTGCATCTCTCTAATGGCTAGTGATTGTGAACATTTCTTCATATGTTTGTTGACTGCCTGGATCTCTTCCTTGGTGAAGTGTCTGTTCATGTCCCATCAGTAAATATTTTAAGTCCTCTTCACTTTCAGCAAGCAAGGTTGTGTCATCTGCATATCACAGGTTGTTAGTGAGTCTTCAGATCATCTCTAAATTCAGGTGGTATATATTCAAGGTCATATTTTGGCTCTCATGGACTTGTTTTCATTTTCTTCAGCTTTAGTTTCAATTTGCACATGAGCAATTGATGGTCTGTTCCACAATCTGCCCCTGGCCTTGTTTTGGCTGATGATATGGAGCTTTTCCATCGTCTCTTTCTACAGATGTAGTCAATTTGAGTTCTGTATATTCCATCTGGTGAGGTCCATGTGTATAATCATCTCTTATGCTGTCTAAAGAAAGTATTTGAAATGAACAAATCATTGGTTTTGCAGAATTCTCTCATACCATCTCCAGCATGATTTCTATCACCAAGGCCATATTTTACAACTACTTTTTTGTTTCCAACCATTGCGTTTCAATCACCAATAATAATCAATACATCTTGATTGCATGTTTGATCATTTCAGATTGGAAGAGTTGGTAGAATTCTTCTATTTCATCTTCATTGGCTTTAGTGGTTGGTATGTAAATTTGAATAATAGTGGTATTAGCTGGTCTTTCCTGTAGGCACATGAATATTAGCCTATCATAGACAGCGTTGTACCTCATGACTGATCTTGATACTTTCTTTTTGACAATGAATGTAACACTATTCCTCTGCAATGTGCCATTCCTGGCATAGTAAACCATGTGATAGATTCAAAATGGCCAATATCAGTCCATTTCAGCGCACGAATGCCTAAGATATCGATGTTTCATTTTTGACAACTTCCAATTTCCCCTGATTCATACTTTGTACATTCCATGTTCCGATTATTAATGGATATTTACAGTTGTTTCTCTTCATTTTGAGTTGACTGAAGGTCCCGAGGGCTTTACTCCATTCATGTCATTAAGGTCAACTCTACTTTGAGGAGGCAGCTCTTCCCCAGTCGCATTTTGAGTGCCTTCCAATGCCTTAGGAGCTCATTTTCCGGCACTATATCTGACAGTGTTTCTCTGCTATTCATAAGATTTTCAATGACTAAATATTCGAAAGTAGTTTGTCTCTCCTTCTTCCTAGTCTGTCTGCTGCTGGAAGGTCTTCTGAAACCTGTCCACCGTTGGTGACCCTGCCAGTATTTAAAATACCCGTGGCATAGCTCCCAGAATAACAGCAACTTACAAGCCACCACGTACGACACAATGACAGACGAGTGGTGGGTATAACAGGTGGGTGTATCTTAATATGTCTGATAGGATGGGAGGAGTAACTGCCAAGAGTGATGTTTGGTTTTGTTTGTTATTGTTATTTTAAGCCCACAGAGCTGTGGCAGAAGGGTGTTCCAGGAGGTCCCAGGAAACCTGGGCTCATCTCAGCTGAGCTCCTCAGGGCTTCCGATGCATCTCAGCTCCACCGCCCCGGTAAGTCCTCCCAGATGCCCCCGCAGAACCTCGTCCAGCTGTGTGTTCGAGGATAACTCAGGATCCGCGTTATCGCATCGCACACGGACAGGAAGGGTCCTTCTCTCCGTGGGTCTTCTAGATCCTCCTGGCGGCTCAGGCAGCAAGGACACCTGGTCACTTCCTAAGCCTCCCTGAGGACCCAGTTCGGTGCGGCCCACCAGGACCGCAGAGGACAGACTGTAGCTGCTGGACACCTCCCTTGGGTTCTAAGTTCGCACGGGTGACTGAGGTCTCGCAAGGAAGCAAACGCGGCGCCCTTCGGGGATATAGTGGGGGTCTCGGTCGGCGGCGCTGAGCTGGAGATGGGGATCCCCTCCCCCTACGCCCCGTCTGCATTGCGGGGATCATAGCCCGCCGAGTGGCATGGGGGCTGCGGGGAGGGAAGGCAGTGTCACACCTTCCGAAGCCTGAACTGCTAGACAGCCCCGGGAAGGCGAGAAGTGGTGGGAACGCGGGTAGGGCCTAGGTCCCAGCGGGAGGAGGGACGGGGAGGGTGATGCGACCCTCTGTCCCCGCCCCGGGGGCGGAGCTGAAATCTGAGCTTGCGGAGTTGGAGACTGGCGGGATTTCGCGCGGGACTCCCTCCCGGCGCCTGCCTCGCCCCTTTCGACCGGTTTCGGGAGTTCAGAACCCCCAGCCGGTACCCGCCGCCGGCAAGACCCAGCCTCTGGTGCTCCTGCCCTCATTCCCGGCGTTGGTGCTGGTGCGGCTCCCCGCTCCCTCGGGGAACATCCCGCTGCGGCGATCATGGCGCGGGGAGACACCCCGCAGGACAGGTGAGTGGAGGCCGTGGTGGGGGACGTGAGGGGACCCGGGGTGCAAAGCGACCCCTCTCCCTTTGGGAGCTCCAAGGCATGCAGAAGACCCACGGAACTACAATTCCCATCAGCCGTCGCCCTGGGCCGCCTGAGCCAGAGTGATGGGGATTGTAGTCTGCTCTCCGGAGGGGCGCCTGGGAGGCGGGAAGGGCGACCGCGAGTCCTCAGGGTGACCTTCTGACTGATCCTCACAGTTACCACCTGGTCGGGATCAGCTTCTTCATCCTGGGCCTGGGCACCCTCCTTCCCTGGAACTTCTTCATCACCGCCATCCCGGTGAGACCCGCTGTGGAGTGACCGACAGTTCCAGGGCCCGGAAAAGCCATCCCTGCCTCCAGCCAGTCGCAGTGGACCTGAGGCTAAGGGGGAGTTGCTTTCCCCCGCCTTTGCCCCTTTTGATACCTCATTGCACTCATTGGTCAGCAGGTGGAGGAAAGCCGAACTTTCAGAAATGCACAGATCCCCAAAGAGCCATGTCCAAGTTCAGTGGGCTCCGGAAAGCAGCAGAGGAACTGTCCACCCACTTTCCTGTGTTTCGTTATTCCTGGACCAGTGATTCCAAAAGTGGGCTGGCACTCCTTTGGTTTTCTTTATAATAACATGACTTATGGTCATTCACTGGACAAAGCTTTAGTGAGCAGCATTGTGGACTGATAACCACAAGGTGGTCAGTTAAAACAGACTCCGTGGCACTTAGTCACAACTGTGGGCCAAGCACTTAGCTTGGCACTGGGGAAAAAGAATGAAACCAAAGGAAGGAGAGCTCTGTCCTCAGGGAGCTTACAATCTCTTAAGGAGACGCAGAAATGTGGGATGTGATTCTCTTTGGATAATTCATACGTATTCAGTGCAACACCTTTTCTGTGCCACTTTGGCGCTTGGCTGTATGCTGAATCCAAAGATGAATCCGCTGCTTGCCCGGATGGGGCCCAAGAGCTATTAATAACATACCAGGCTTGGATCAGAGCCTCTTGAGTCCTCAGGGAAAGAGCCTCTCTTTGGGGCAGGAGGTCTCAGAGGGCTTCTTAGAAAAGGTGTGTTGTGATTTGAGAGTAAGGTGGACAAAGTGAGGGGGAAGAGAGCCGTAGTTGTGGGCATTCCTGTGAAGGCACAGATAGATGCCTGCAGTTTGGGAAAAGTCAGGAGCATGGGGTACCTGGAGCTTAGAAGGATGAAGCAGGAGACAGAACAGCATCGGGTGTTTAGGACCTGGTTCTGTTTTAAGGACTTTGGGGTTTTGTCCTCTGGACAATGGGGAACCCGCAGGGCATATTAAAGAGGGGTATGTGTTCCAAGGAGAATGCAGTAATTAGAATGGACGCCAGAGCCTGGCTTACAGTATCAGCTCAATAAGTAAATAACTGAACTCCAGGCGTGTCTGCAGTAGTTGGGGAGGGATTGGAACTTGGGCACTGGAAGGGAAGGTGAGCCAAAGCTGGAACAGGGCCCTGCACTGGGGATTCTTTGGGCTTAGGCTGTGTGCCAGACCTCAGCTGCTCAATTTGGCACACACTCATGGCATTCCAACTGTGTGCTAGGGTCCACGACAGTACAATGACAAAGCAGACACTCAGAAATTCACTGAACAACCATATACATAGAATGGGGAAAGGCTGAGGGGTGGATTCTGAGGGTGGGCTGTAGGTTGAGGTCTAGGGGTGACCCTGCACTCCCCATCCTGTCAGTATTTCCAAGGGCGGCTGGTAGAGGCCAACAGTACAACTGGAATTCTGGGTACCAACCACACGGGCCCCACAGATGCCTTCAACTTCAACAACTGGGTGACGTTGCTGTCCCAGCTGCCTTTGCTGCTCTTCACGTTCCTCAACTCCTTCCTGTACCAGTGGTGAGAGACCCTGACCCCTGAGGCTCTTCTCCGACACCCCTCCACAGCCTCTCCCCTGCTTCTCTGCTGAGGCAGCTTCATGGGGACCCAGGGAAGACCTCCTAGCCTTCCTCAATCTCCCTGCCACCCCCCTGCCAGTTCCCACTGCCCAACCTGGGCTGACCCTCTCTTGCCTACCTCCTCTGCCCCTCCTGGGTCTGGCTGATGCCCACTGCCTGCCTCTGAGCAGTATTCCAGACACAGTGCGGATTCTGGGCAGCCTGCTGGTCATCCTGCTGCTCTTCGCCCTGACAGCATCACTGGTCAAAGTGGACATGAGCCCTGCGCCTTTCTTCTCCATCACCATGGCCTCCATCTGGTTCATCAACTGTGAGCACCTCTACACCCCACCCCCCACCCCTTCTTCCACAACCCACCAGGGCTGCAACCCATTGTCTTCCTTGTAAATGAAAGGGCTCAGCACATCCAAGAAGGGGAGAAAGACAGCTTCATTATCACCCATGTCCCCGATGAAGAAACTGAGACCCAGAGAGAGAGTAAGCATCGCTCATTAGCTCCACAGTGACCTCCTGGCCCCCAGACCCACAGACTTGAGGATGCATCTTAGAAGAGGAATGGGATACGTGGCACCCAGAGTCCTTAGGAAGGATGACCACCCAACCACCAACCTAGCCCATAGCGCCTATACACCCTGGCATTTCTTCTGGGAACCCCTAAACCCTCCTGTCCCCCTACAGCCTTCGGTGCAATTCTGCAGGGCAGCCTCTTTGGGCAGCTGGGCACCATGCCCTCCACCTACAGCACCCTCTTCCTCAGCGGTCAGGGTCTGGCTGGCATCTTTGCTGCCCTTGCTATGCTCCTGTCTATGGCCAGTGAGTGGACGGGCCACCTGGGCTCTGGGGAGGGGAGAGGATGTGCCGGGATCCAGATGTCTGGGTTCTGGAGAACTGGGGCTGGAGTGGAGACAACCTGGGTTCTGCAGTGAGAGAGAGTGACCAGGTGAAGTGATATGTGGCAGTTGGTTGAGGTTATGGCTGGGAAGGAGGGATTTGAAATTCCTATAGTCTTAGGTTCAAATTCCATTTCTGCTGTTTAATATTCACCCTCTCTGTGCTATCATTTCCCACCTACATGTTTATTGCAATTGTGCCTCCTCAGAGTGTGCAGCCTGTAATATGAGAACACTGGCACATAGTAGGTGCTTAACAAACACGCTATAATAATGGAAGGGCAGGACTGGTCTGGGGGCACAAGAGGCCAGAGTTCTTGTCAGTGAAGGAAGCAGAAGGAAGGACTTAGAGCTGAATCTGAAGATGCATTGTGTGGGAAGTGTGACAAGAGCCCGTGGGACCAGGTCCCTCTCCTCAGCAGCTGACATTTTCCCGTAGGTGGTGTGGATGCCCAGACCTCTGCCCTGGGGTACTTCATCACGCCCTGTGTGGGCATCCTCATCTCCATCATGTGCTACCTGAGCCTCCCTCACCTGGTGAGCCTGCTCTGCCGGTCCCACCTCAGAGCATCTCAGATAACAGCCTTGAGGCTGAGGCCCTGAGGAAGACTAGGGGAAGTGGGACCTGGGCCCAACTTTAATCCCCAAAGGAGTAAGCCAGTGGAAGGCCCCAGCCTCTAAGCCCATAGTGTGGGGAGGAGTCCAGACACCTGAGCCCAAGGCAGCCAGGGACACTATTTTTCTTATGTCTACAGGAATTTGCCCGTTACTACCTGGCCAAGAAGCCGTCCCTGGCCCAAGCCCATGAACTGGAGACCAAAACTGAACTCCTCCAGGCTGGTGAGTCCGGGGATCTGCTGGGGAGCTAGAGCAGCCATCCGCAATAGTCTGTGTGAGCAGAGACAGAGCATGAATGGAAATCAGTAAGGTTAAAGTCATCTCTGCTACCCTTTGGGCCTCAGTTTCCTCTTCTATAAAACGGGGAGGCAACCAGAGCTTCATGCATTCAAGCTTTGGATCCAAATGCATCTTGTTTTCAACCCTGGCTTTGTAACATCCAAGCTGTATATGGTTAAGCAAGTCAACTTATCTCCTCTGAGCCCTGCTTCCTTCATCCGTAGTGATGCCATGTAATCTAAGGAGCTAAAGAAACTGTAACTGTGAATATTTCTGTTGTTAACTATTCCCTCTTTGCACCCTGGCCTGGAGAAGGATCGATTGTGTTAAATGCTGGGATCGCCCCTATTAGACAGGGCTGTCAGGAGTCCTGGATCCCAGGTGGTAACCTTGTTCTTGCCATTTGTACTAGATGAGAAGAATGGGACTCTCAACAGTCCCCAGAGGGCAGCCCTGATGCTGGATGTTGACCCCGAGAAGGAACCAGAGGAGGTTCAGAAGCCAGGGAAACCTTCTCTCTTAGTTGTCTTCCAGAAGGTATGACTTGCATCTCACCCCACCCCCAACCTGGGGCACTAGAGGCTTCTTTCTGTCCTGCCCGTCTCGTTCCTGCTTCAGCCACCATTGGCCTGGGGAGGGCACCAACCAGAGACACACATTGGGTCAGGGACACAGCAGGGCGGGAGGGTAGGGCTGACCTTGGGCCCCTGGACTGCCCCACCATCTCACACCCCTACCTCCGGCTCTCAGATCTGGCTGACAGCGCTGTGCCTTGTATTGGTCTTCACAGTCACTCTGTCCGTCTTCCCCGCCATCACAGCCATGGTGACCAGCTCCACTGGTCCTGGGAAGTGGAGTGAGTGTTGGGGTGCAGAAGGGGGCAGGGTTGGGGAGAAAGGGAAGAAGGGAGTCAGGAGGAGGATGAGCTGCCAGCTCTCTCTCTCTCTCCCAGGTCAGTTCTTCAACCCCATCTGCTGCTTCCTTCTCTTCAACCTCATGGACTGGTTGGGGCGCAGTCTGACCTCCTACTTCCTGTGGGTGAGCACACCCGGCCTGAGCGGTTATAACATTCTTAGGGAGCAATCAGGGTCAAAGGGCATGTAAGAATATACAGATGTACTTTCCCAACAGCCCAAGTAGTCTGACAATGAAACACTTGGTTTAGTAGGTAGTGAACACCTGGTCCCTGGAGGTATGTAAGCCAGGGTTTGGACTGTGAGTGTCTTGAAAGTAGAGGTCATGTCCAAGCAACTACAAAAGCCCCAGCCCACCCTTCTCAGAGAATGATCCTGTACCACGTGAGGCACTGGACAAGATTCCTGGTGCCTTAAGTGCTATTCATGGGTGGCGCAAATAGTTAGCATGTTTCACTGCTCTCCAAGAGGTTGGAGGTTTAAATCCACCTAGAGGTGCCTTGGACGAAAGACCTGGTGATCTGGAAACTATTGAAAAATGTGGAGCCCAGTTCTACTCTGACACATAGCAGGTTCTTATAAATTGGAGTTAACTTAAAAGCAGCTTTTTGTTTTTGTTGTTATTGTTGGTTGAGAACATTCTCCTGTGGTTCCGGTGAAAGTTTATAGAGAAAATTAGTCTCCCGTTCCACAATTTATATACATTTTATTTCCTGAAATTACTTCTAATCCCCTCAGTATAACAGCATTCTTCCCATTTCTTGTTTGGGTTCCCCATCTTTCCTGCCCCTTCCTGTCTTCTGAAATTTTGGTTTGGGCCAAATGCTGTCCTTTTGGCTCTGGTGGCACTGTGAGTTAGGCAATGGTTGACTAACCACAAGGTTGGTTCAAATCCACCAGCCACTCCACAGGAGAAAAATGAGGCTGCCTGGTCCCATAAAGACTGGCAGTCTCAGAAATCCTATGGTCTCTATAAGTCAGAATCGACTTGATGGCAGTTGGCTTGGACTGGGAATCGTCTTTTTGCTGCTCATCTAGTCTTGTATGATTGATGGCTCTGAGGAGCACGTTTCTCACGGGATGTTATTGTTCACTATCAGGCTGTCTGCTGATTGACTGTAAGATGATTTCCGAGCGTGGTTTCAGTTCTAGGTTTGAAGGGCATCTAAGGACCATCCACCAGAGTCTATCAGACAATAAGTCTGGTCTTTTTTATGATTTTAAAATTTGTTCTACATTTTTCTCCCGCTCTTTCCCCAAGTCCTTCTATTGTGAGCCCCATCAGGGTGGTCAGGTGGTAGCTGGGCACCATCTAGCTCCTCTGCTCTCAAGCTAGTGAAGGTCTGTTAGCCCTTTGGACTAATTGTTTCCTTGAGTCTTTGATTTGCTTCATTCTTCGTTTTGGATTGGGAGAGGCCAATAGTTGTGTCTTACATGAGAACAGCAATTGTTCTTTGAATCCACCATAGTACCTTGGAAGGAATGCCTGGTGATTTACTTCTGAAAAATAAGTAATTGAAAACCTATGGAGCACAGTTTTTAATCTGAACTACCCGGGTTTACTATGATGAGTCAGAACTAACTCATTGACAACTGGTTTGATTTGGTTTACCTGGAATTTTCTAAGGCCGCACAACCAATGAAACCGAGCAAAGAGGAGCTTCTCTGACCCAAACTGGGGGCGGGACCTTGGTCTCCCGCTTCCAATCCCACTCAGCAACCTCATCTACCCCATCTGCCCCAACTGGTGTGGGAAGCCCCAGGGATTTGAAAACCACAGATGCTGGGTAAGGCGGAAGTCAGAGCTCAGGAAGGCAGAGGTGGACCACGCCGGTCCCGCCCCTGCTCTCAGAGGCTCCACCCTCATGTAGGGTAGGTCTGAGTTCAGCGGAGTAATCTGTGCGTGTGTTCTGAACACTGCTCCCGGGATCTACATTCACTCCCACCTCTACGCCTACCTCCGCCTCAGCCCGATGAGGACAGCCGGCTGCTGCCTCTGCTGGTCTGCCTGCGCTTCCTGTTTGTGCCGCTCTTCATGTTGTGCCACGTGCCGGAGAGGTCCCGACTGCCCATCCTCTTCCCCCAGGACGCCTACTTCATCACCTTCATGCTGCTCTTCGCCGTTTCCAACGGCTACCTGGTGTCCCTCAGCATGTGCCTGGCGCCCAGGTGTGGGGGACACGGGGAGGGGGCATTGGGCTGGCTCTTGGAAGAGGGACAGGTGGCAGCCTACAAGGGAAAGGCCCTCGTCTGTGGCCTGCCCAACCTTGCTTTGCCCCTCCATGGAGTCAGGCCTTAACCTCAGAGCCGACCCTGATCGGAAGCTAGCAAGAAGGCCACTAGACTAGGGATATCAGCCCAGGAAAGTGGCCCAAACACTGGTTCTGGGTCTTGTGGGACCTGGGGCACATCAGTGCTTCTCTAAGGTTGTTTCCCCATCTGTGAAGTCAGTGCTTTGAACTCTTGTCTCTTTGGACCTATCTAGTTCCCAAATTCTCAGCTGAAGGGGAGCTAAGGTTTTGATCAAATCCAGGGAATTTCTTCCTCTAAAGGGGATGGGAAACCCTGGTGTGCTATAGGATAAACACTGGACACTAACCACAAGGTCAGTGGTTCAAACCCACCTGCCACTCCTTGGAAACCCTATACAGTTGAGTCGGAACCAACTCAGCATCACTTAACCACAACAAAGGGGATGGGGTAAGAATCCCAGGGTAACTGAGGTGATAAGAGGACTAGGTTCAGGACATTTTACCAAGATGGGAGGACAGTGGAATCTAGAATTCTATTAACACTGACCCCTGCAAAGGTCCCAAAAGATGTGTTTGCCCAATTACCTCATTTACACATCTGGAAACTGAGGCCTGGAGAGAAGAACACCAAATTATCTGATGCAAGAGGTTGGGCAGAGCTGGGGCTAGCACTCTGGTGTGTCATCAGAGGCGTGGGGCACGGAGGGCAGTGGACTGGACTTGGATTTGGCCAGCATTTCAAAGAGCTCCTCTACCTTGTGTTTCAGACAAGTGCTGCCGCATGAGCGGGAGGTGGCAGGCGCCCTCATGACTTTCTTCCTGGCCCTGGGCCTCTCCTGTGGAGCCTCCCTCTCCTTCCTCTTCAAGGCTCTGCTCTGAAGGGGCCACCCGGATCTCGCAGCCACCCTCTTCCCTCTACCCCTCAGAGTTGAGAGCCAGCTGAGGAGGGATGGTTGTTGCAGACATCGCTAGCTGGTGACTCTGGGGGCATCGTGTGGAGAGGCAGAATCCACCACTGCTCAACCTCACTGTCATCCGGGACCACGCTGACGCAGCAGAGAGGCAGCCTTCACCCAGACGCACAGGAGACCTCAGGGGCTGGAAGGACAATGATCAGAGACAAGAGGCTTGGACTCGTTCCATCCTCCAGAGCTGCACTTGGTCATTATAAGAAACCCCTTGCTTGTCTGCAGGGGTCAGAGACTACAGCGGGGTGGTCCTAGCCATGGGCTCAGAGGGAGAAGGGGCTACCCAGAGCAGACCTCTTCGTCCCTGGGCCTTAGCAACTCCATGGTCAGGTCCCTATGACCCAGGACAGATGATGCCAGAGTTAAGGGGAGGAGGAACAGGTGTTGGGAATCTGAGGGTAACCCCCTCCAGCTGCAAACAGTGTTCTTGCCAACTCTACTGTCCCCACTCCCAGAGCCCTGTTGGGCCTGAGAATCAGAACCACAATTCGCCTGCATGTCTGCACTGCACTTTATAGCACGCAAAGCTAGTTCACACCCACTCTCTCCCTGGAGTCTCATGGACCAGAAGGGATTGTTCCCCCCACTCCCCCATGTTACAAGGGAAGTAACAGAAGCCCAAGTGGGAAATGGGGAGAGTCAGGACACAGCCTCCAATTTCCACCCCACCCCACACACCCACTGCCTGATGCCTGCTCCTGTTTTTCTTCCCGGAGCACTTCCTCCGTCTTTCGCTCTACAGGCCCCTCTGCTGGGTCAAATGACAAACCCCATTTGTTTGTACGATACTTTCTGTGAGTCTTGATTCTAAAACACTTTCAGCTCTCTTGGGCTAAGTAAGCTACAGGAGAGAGAGTGGAAGGCTAAGCATCTCCACTGGACAGATGGGATGATTGAAGTCATGTGTTGGGCCCTGTGGACTGCACAAGGGATATTATTGAGTGGCCGTGAACCCTATGCTCCTGGGCAGGACATCTGATGTGTGAGAGATTATTGTTGTTCCCTGTATGGGCCCTCACTCTCACCATCTATCTGTCCAGCATCATTCCTCCAATTTTAAACCCCAGAGAAGCAACAGGCCTGGGCAGGATTTTGACAGGACTGTCAGTTCTCCGGACAGAGGGAGGAAAGGTCTACCTCACCATACTTGTGTGTGGTTGCTGCTGCCATCTCTGGTCTTCAGTGTTGCAACCTGAGTCTCGGAGGGTCTCAATGTAGGATCCCCGGGTTCAAAGGATACACTCCACTCAGGTCACTAGGCTCAGTTGCACCCTTGGCCTGCACTGGTGGGGGCAGGACCCGAAGAGGGACAGGATGTTGTTGTTAACTGCCGTCGAGTCAATTCCGACCCATAGCGACCCTGTATAGGGTTTCCAAGGAGCAGCTGGTGAGCTTGAATCACTGATGTTGCAGTTCAAACAACTGCCATCTGACTCATCAGCCCATAGCGCTACACCAGGACTCCAAGAGGCACAGGATGAAGGGGGCCCAAAGCCTGCTAGGCTCCCTTATCCTTCGCCTGTTGTGTGTTGTACTTCAAAGCTCCCTAGACTGTCAGATCCCGTGGGGACAGGAGAAGCACACCCCTCGTCTGAGCAGTGGAGGGCGGGGCCTGCAGATATCCCAACCTAGAATTTCCCATTCCTAGGGGCTTAGCCCAACTCTGCCCTTAGGTCAGGATGCAGCTAGATAGATGGCTTGTAGAATTGGAAATAAATACTTAGGCCAGTAAGCTGTACCTGCCCGTCCATTTCTGATGCCCAGTCCCCCAGCCACGGCCCCATCTCTGATGGACCAACAGATACCCTTGGAAGCATCCCCGTTTCATCAGCAAATACTAGGGTTGGCACCGTGTGGTGGGCACCAAGCTCTCTCAATAGAGGGACACAGACATTTGAAGCCCAGCCTGTACCTTCAGTGACTGAGGCTGGTTAGCATTCATTAGAATTCTAACTTATGTTGCATGTAGAGTTTTTTACGTCTGTGAGCTACTTCCCCACCCGCCTCACCACAACCCCTGCCATTGAGCAACCTCAGGGCCCTTCCCAGTTAAGTCCCCCCAACAGACTCCCTTCTTTGCATGGTAAGGATACCTTTGTCTGGCCATAGCAATTGGATGAGGGTTGTGTGCTGAGCTACGGCAGCCACCCATTTGAGAAGAACCAATCAAATCCTCTGCCTTTGGGGAAAGGACCAGAATATGGGGCGGGGGTGTGTTAAAAGGAGCTATAATTAGAAGCATGATGGAATGGGTCATTGGGGAGTCACCAGAGTCCCATGAAAAGGAACCCTGTTGTCACAGTGGTTAATTGCTCAGCTGTTGTTTGTCATTAAGTGCCATTGAGTCCGTTTTAACTCAGTGACCCTGTATAGGATTTCTGAAGAGCAGCTGGTGGGTTTGAACTGCTGACCTTGTGGTTCACACTCCGGTGCTGATCTACAGTGCTACATCAGGAGTCCAATTGCTTGGCTGCTACCAGAAAATGGTTCGAATCCACCAAGTGCTCCATGGGAGAACGATGTGATACTCTACTTCCATAGATGTTTACAGCCTGGGATACACTAAGGGGCAATTCTGCTCTCCTACAGGGTTACTTGTAAGGAGCTCTGGTAACGTAGTGGTTACGAGTCGGGCTGCCAACCTCAAGGTCAGCCGTTTGAAACTACCAGCGATTCAATGGGAGAAAGATGAGGCATTCTGTTCCCATAAAGATTTACAGCCTCGGAAACCCAGTACAGGGTCGCTATGAGTCGGCACATAACAACAGGGTTATTGTAAGGAGCTCTGATAGCATAGTGGTTATGAGTCAGGCTGCCAACCTCAAGGTCAACAGTTCGAAACTACCTGCTGTTCTGTGGGAGAAAGATGAGGCTTTCTGTTCCCGGAAAGATTTACAGCTTCGGAAACCCTGTGCAGGGTCACTATGAGTGGAAACGGACTCTACGGTCCTTAACAACAACAGGCTTCCTGTGAGTTGGAGTCAAGTCTGTGGCAATGGATTAGAGTACTGTGAAAAACCCTGGTAATGGAGCAGTGCTTAAGAAGTTTGATCCCACCAGCCACTGAATAGGAGAAAGATGTGGCAGTCTCCTTTTGTAAAGACTGTTGTTATAAATGCCATTGAATCAGCCAACTCAACGAGCCTGTAGAGGATTTCCAAGGCTTTAAATCTTTTCAAGGGGCAGAAAGCCTTCTGTTTTTCCCACAGAGAGGCTGGTAAGCTTGAACCACCAACCTTGTGGTTTGCAGTCCAGTGCTGATCCTATGGAGCCACTGAGCTCACTTGGTGGGGATTCCAGCCTTGGGAACGTTATGGATCAGTTCTACTCTGTTCTGTAGGGTTGCTGTGAATCCAAATGGGTCTGGTTGGGTTTTTTAGACTTTCTTGATGTCCTGGATAATTAAACATAATTCATACACAGCTTCAACAGTACACTGACGGAGAACTGCCAAAGGTTCAAGCCGGATTTAGTGATATCATTGGTGATGTCAGCTGGACCTTGGCTGAAAGCAGAGAATATCAGAAAGATGTTTACCTGTGCTTTATTGACTATGCAAAGGCTTTTTTTTTTTTTTTAATGTTTTATTGTGAATTATGTGATCGTTTACATGGGA